AGCATTATTTTCCTGATGTGAAGAAGGTAGTTGTTGGGGTGTTAAATGTGGTTCTTGTTGATTAGGAAGAATATTTTGGTTTTGTTGAGGGTTAATACTTGTATGAGTAATAGTAGGATCAATAGTAAGCTGTCATTATTGCTGCGTTAATTGTTGAGGTTGTTGTTGTTGAGTATTAGGAGTTTGGATAAGAATAGGTCTTGGTTGCTCTGATTGTTTAGTGGGGATTGGAGATCCGGTAGTAGTGGTAGTTGTTGGGATAATTGGTGTTGAAGAGTACTAGATGCTTGAGTTAAATTAGATTTTGATAGTTCTAACTTTTCTATATTGGTTAGTTCATGATAGTAGTGAGTCACACTAGGGTTATTTCTTGTAAGAGTATCTTTGTCTATATCCATATCATCTGAGGTTTCAGTTAAGGGGGTTAGAGGACTAAGTTCTGAAGCCAGAGGGTTAAAAGCATGAAATTCATTGAGTGATTGTCTGAGTTTGAAGATGAAGTCACCACCTGTATTCTTAGAGGATCCATGCTGTGGATTTAAGAGATTTTTTACACAAGATCTGTAGTATGGTTTGTCATGGTATTGCTTGCTACTTGGTGTTGGTTATTGAAGATTTTGCAATTAATAGGTTGTTTACAGTGTGGAAATGTATGTTGGTGTTGTGTGGGAGATGGTGAGGAAATTGGAGATAGGGGATAAATTTAGTAGCAGTAGCTAAATTTTTGGGCTAATTTTATTCTTCCTGTTTGGCTAGCAATTTTAATATTTTTAGATTTAGCATATTTCTTGTTTTCTTTGGAGATAAAGTGAGTATGGTATTTGCCACATAGGCATTTAATGATAGCTGAGGTGTTTGGAGCTTCAAAGTAGTGACAGGTCTTAGTTACATTTCTAAGTTCGGTTGAGGTATATTCAGTTGGTCTTGTATTTTTGGAAATTGGTCTAGGAATATTAGAGGAATCTTCATAAATTCCAATACTGAAGCTGTTATGGTATTTATTATAAAAATAGTCAAGATCTACAGTATCTGGTTCTACAGTAGTTAAGATAAACATTATGTCTACATGTTTGCTTAGAAGTACTAGGTCAAAAGACTTAGCATAAATTAAGATACAAAGATAAAATAATATAGAATATTCTTAACAAGGGGTAAACTAAAGCCAAGGTTGTAGTACTGTGCTATGGCTAGAATGGCTAATGTGGCTAGTGTGGCTTTGTGTGATACTATGTATAACCTAAAATAGTACTTAGTGTGGCTAGTGTGGCTGATGTGGCTTGGTGTAACAATTTGGGCTATGTACGGCTATGTAAATTTAGATTTAATTAATAATGCCAAATTTGTAAGAGCTTTTTTGTACTAGGGCTGTGTAAAAAAACAATAGCTGCAATGAGCTGTATTGTTGGATATATGGAGGCTGCACAGAACAATAGCTGTAGTAGGCTGTGTTGTTGGCTATACAAGAGTTAAGACTATATAAGGCTGTGTTGAAAGTTTGCTTAATAGAGCCAAATTTGTAAAGACTTTTTTGTACAAGAGCTGTGTACAATACAATAGCTGCAGTGGGCTGAGTTGTTGGCTGTGTGACAGGAGGGTTTGGCTGGATATAGTAGATAATCTGACATTACACAAAAAATGTCTAGAGTGAAAAAGTAGCAATAGAAAAAATAAAGAAAAAATATTCTTCCTAATCAACAAGAACCACATTTAACACCCCAACAACTACCTTCTTCACATCAGGAAAATAATGCT